AAAAAAATAGCATGATTATATTGAAGAACTTTGTATTGGTTGGAGAATTTGGAAAGGGACTGGATGCCAAACTCACATTACAGCAACAGTGACAAATTTCACATTGTTGAAGCTTGGTAGTATACTTTTATCAGTAAATAACACTCAAAAATTATAGTAGATATACAGAGTTTCAAATTTACATTTAAAATACAGTTGCATATTTTTAGTTTGAGAATATTTGTTATTATAGTACTTTAAAAAAAAACTTCCCAGACTGTGATTTTTATCTCTAGAAATTCAATCAGGTATTTTACATTTTCTGTGGGGCATAGGTAAAGGCATACTGGGGCTGTATAAGAGTAATAGAAAAATAATGGAAAACTTCTTGGTCCCTGTGAATGGAGAGGTTCAGTGTCTAGGCCTGGATGCCCAGTGTGTAGGCATCTTTCTCTGTCATGTTGCTAAACTTTGTACCATCCTTTTTTCAAAGCAAATTTTAAGTGCTGTTGAAAACCTGTCAAATTGTCCTATTTAGTATGCTCAACAGTGTTTTTGAATAGTATATTTTTAGTTTTATTAAAAAATAAAATTACCCTAGGCAGAGTGGTATGGAGTATAATTCAAGTGCTTGGGAGACTGAGGCAGGTGGATATGGAGTTTCAGGCTAGCCCCCAAATAAAAACAAAAATAAAAATATTAGCAGTAGCTAATGTGCTGGATTCTTTTGCAATAATTTGTCTTTAGTTCTCAACAACAATCTAGCCAAGGCATGTGGTAATATTCAAGTTTTACAAATAAGGAAACGGAATCAAGTTAGTCTATCCCACAGTTCTACAGCTAGTGTGAGTGACAGAGTTAATACTAAACTCTAAGTGTTCTCTAACGCCATGGGTCTTTGCTTCTCTGCAGTGCTCCCTGGAGTTGCTATAGATGTCACAGCACTGTTTGTCTGCTTATCTTATCCTTTCGAGTTGGAATAGCATCCCATTAGCAGATTCTAGAGTTTCCCAATGTAGAATGTGCCCATCATTTAAGTCCTACATCAAATGCTACCTTTTTCTACAATTTTCTCGATAGTCCCCTGTGGAAGTAAACTCTGCCATCTTTGAACTCCTATGACAATTTTTATCTTTCTGCATATTTTTATTTTAATTTGGGTTATAATTACTCCTATACGTGTAAAAATTTACCAACTGGAAACTCTGATTCTCTATAGCCTAAGACAGCTTTGAATATTGTAAGTATTCAATATTTGTTGACATGATATTACATGTAACAAAGTAGGAGTGGAAATTATGGCCCTGTGGTAATCATTAGTATGTGTGTGATCATTTTGTTTCTTGGAAATCTTGTTAAATTTCATGGTGGTATAACTAAATGTGACATGCATTTCCTACTTTGGTGAAAAGGTTCAGATTCTTAGCTTCTTTTCTTTTTTTAATAAGACAAATACTGAGTCTGCTCAGGAGAGGTACAAAGAACCTGCTGTTTTAATTTTCTTCACAGTGGTGGGTCAGATTATGCTCTTTTGGCCCTACCTTTTTATAATAGGCTCAGTGTAGTATTGGAGTTCCATAACTGGTTATCGTTGAATATATTCTCTTTTGCATCTGTGGCTGTCAGTGGGATTGCCAGATTGTTTAGAATAAGTTTATAGAATCTACTATAAATTGTTGTTTCTATTGATCTTATACTATACAATTTTATGTATAAATTGTCTCCTATTTTTGTTTTACTTGTCCTTAACTTTTTTCTTAGAGAAAGGCAATTAAATGAAAACTTGCTTGCCAAGAGGGTGCAGAAATTCTCATTGTTGATTTTGAAAAAATAATTATTTTATTTTGAGAAGGGGTCTTAGCATGTAGCCTCAGCTGGCCTGGAACTCACTATGTAGAGCAGGCTGGCCTCCAATTCACAGAAATCCTTCTGCCTCTGCCTCTCAGGCGCTGGGATTAAAGGCATGTGCCACCATGCCCAGCTTGATTTTGAAATTAAAAAAAAAAAAAAAAAAAACCCAAGGAGAGAGCACTTAGAGAAGGACCAGTGTGTGTGTGTGTGTGTGTGTGTGTGTGTGTGTGTGTGTGTGTGTGTTTAAAATTGGGATCAGGCATCTAAAAAAAACAAAAAAACTTTGTGCCATTTTGAGACCATTGAGACAGCTTTTGCTGCACAAGCCTAATTGACCTGTGTTCAGTCCCCAGAACCCATGTAAAGGAGGGTGGAGAAAACTGACTCCACAGAGTTGCCCTCTGACTTTGCATGTGCACCATGGCATGCATGTACACATTGAATATTAATAATAAATAAATAAAAATTGAAAACATGCCATTTTCTCTCTTGCTTTAGCATTTTTACTCAAAAAAGAACAATCAAAACTTAATATATAGTGGTAGAAATTTCATTGTAATTTTTTGAGTTTTGAGCATTTAGTCTTTGTAAAGTTACAAGTGCTGTTTTTTATCATTTCTTCCATTTGAATTGTACATATATTTGGCTGATCTCTTGAAAAGATTCTTTTTTACCTTTTTTGAGGGCAAAGTCCTTTTATTAAAATCTGTTTGAAATGAGTATCAGTCTTTTGCATCCCATGGAACTTTATGAAACTGCTAATAAAGCAAAAGACTTTGGACTGTTCAATTGAGGCAGTAGATAAAATTTCTCCACAAATTGTGACTCACAAAAATACTTGTTAGGATTGTGACCCTGAGTATTTCATACCCACTGGGGAAAAAAATAAAACTAAGGCAGTTGGAAATGTAAGATTTTGAAAGCATTTGACATTAATGAGACTATATAAATGTGATATGGGGATGTAGCACAGATGGAGAGTGCTTACCTAGCATGCAGGAGACACTGGGTTCAGTCTCTAGTTCCAGCACTTCTGGGGTGGAGGCAAGATGATCAAAAGTTTAAGATCATCCTCAGCTACACAGTGAATTTGAGGCTGCCTGGGCTACAAGTAACACTGACACACAGAAACACACACACACACATGCACAACAGAACATGTAAAATGATCCCAAGTTTTAGTTCTAGTAGTAAAAACTTAAATTCTCCTTTATAAAATTCATGTTGTTGATGCTGAATTATTACAAAAGTACATTTATTCAAGGAAACTAGTCTAACATAATTCTAAAACTTGCTAACAAGTTTATTATGTTTTGCTGTTTAGTGTAAACTTGTCAGCCCCTGTCCCAATCACTTGAGACAAGTGTGCCCACCTCTTAGTGTCGCTTAGGGATTAGTTCCCAAACCACCACACATAAGCAAAATCTGCTGATGCCTTAGCACCATATATAAAATTTGCATGTAATCTGTTCCTGTATTCTTTGTCATTTCTATTAGATTATTTCTAATACATAGCACAGTGTAAATCCTATGCAAATAGTTAACATACATACTGTATTGTCTAGGGAATAATTTTTAAGTCTGCCCATATTCAAAATAAACGCAATTCTATTTCCAAATATTTTCATCTGCAGCTGGTTGAATCCTCAGATGTGGAACCATAGATAGAGGGCTAACTGTGTTTTTTTTTTTCTAGTTGACAGTGAGGAAACAGCACAGAGAAATTAAGGGACTTTATACTAAGGCCATGCGATGTTTAAGTCCAGGCAGTCTGGCCTAGATTCTGTGCCCTTCATCTTTATTCAGTATTGCTTCTCACCACAAGGTTAAGAACTTCGGGTTTGGAGTAACAGCCCTGGATGTGATTCATGTGTACTGCTTATCCTCTTGGAATGAGAATGTGCATCTTGACCTGTCTAAGCCTCAGTGTTTAAAAGCAGGGGTTGTTACAGGAATGGTAGTGCATGCCTGTAATACCAGCACTTAAGAAGCTGAGGCAGGAGAATACTAGTTGAAGCCAATTTGAACTACATAGTAGCAATACTCTGTCTCAAGAAGACTGCCTCCTTTTTTTTTTTTTTTTAAAAAAAGGTCATTTTAGAAATAAAATGATGTTTTAACTGTTTATCACACTGTTTGGCAGATAGTGTTTGGTAGATACTTATTGAATAGGTAAGTAACATAAAAATACTCAGAGGCAAAATGAAAAACGTTACCAAGGATTGGTAAGATAAAAGGAGAGAACTGGCTCCTGAAGTTGATCTCTGACTTCCACATGTGCTTTTGGGGCACATAGGCACCTACATATATACACACAAGATAAATAAATGTAAAAAGACACAGAAAAAACTTACTGAAAGGAAATAACTTGCTAGCATTCTGAGTTGTATCTTTCTAGTCTTTAAAAGCATATTTCTTGATTTTATTAATGTATATCTTTTTAAAATTCCACTGGTGTGCCTTTCTTCCTTGTGTAACTTTTTGTTTATACGTTGCACAAAATTCAGGAAAGGTTGAGTTTGCTGGTGCCACATAGCGATCTGTTTCTTTCTCTACTAGCCTGCACTTTCCCCTGTGTTTAGGACTAGGTAGGTGAATGCCTGCCATGCTTAATGCCTGCCCAGGGTTCAATTGCCAGTGTTGCCAGAAGCAAAAAACAAAGGCCTAGGAAGCGTGGTGGTGCACGCCTTTAATCCCAGCACTCGGGAGGCAGAGGCAGGTGGATCTCTGTGAGTTCAAGGCCAGCCTGGTCTACATAGTGAGTTCCAGGACAGCTGGGGCTACAGGGAGACCCTGTCTCAAAAAGACCAAAAAAAAAAAAAAAAAAAAAAAGGCATAGGAAGGAAGGTGGTAGTAGAGGGAGGATTCATACACATCCTTTTAAAAATGAAAATAGGATTATGTTTGAATTAAAATTTCTGACATATCTGCAAATCAAAATACACTATAAGTAGAGGAGGATGTGGTAGTATTAATTTTTTAGACTAACAATGAAAATCCAGTTTCAGCATGTTTATAGAATATAGACTGTTTTTGTTAGTTGAGTGAGGTCTGACCATATGTTGCATTATTAAATTCACTGGTTGTGGTTTATTAGTAACTAAGCTAATCCCCCTTTCTGTAGCCTTATTAACAAGCATGGCTAATGCTCTCTTTTTTCCTTCTTTTAGATCTACACACAATGAGCTGGAAAAGAATCGGTGAGTCAGTGATGAGGTGCAGCCTTCACTTACAGTTGAGAGCAAACTTACCATTCTGATAGTGCATATATAGTTGTGATCGTATTTGTAAAATGTGTAACTTGTCATGATTCTCATACATTGTATTTTCTGAAAAAAAAACTACTTAAAAGTGAATTTATTATAAAAGTAGACTGGGTTTTAAGCCCATTTGAATTTAAGTTGAAGGGAAAATTTTCTTTGAGAACACATTAACTGTGATAGGCTCATGTCTTAAAATATGTTCTAGCTAAAGGATTGGGTTTCTGGAGTAGGTAATAAACATGACATACTGGAGTGCCTTGAATCTTTCTTTGCAGTTTGTTCATTTATTCATGCATTCAACAAATGCTTACCAATCATGAGCTACATATCATTGCCAGGAAGATGGAGTACTTTTCATAGGAAATAGAAGAATGTTTGAGATAGTTTCTGTCCTTAAGGAACTCATGGTTTCATAGGGGGGAGAGAGACAGCAGTAAGCAGGGTAACAGAGCAGCAGGGGGCTCTTATTAGAGGGTGCTGAAAGATCATTTTGGAAGGCCACTTAACTCCCCTCTGAAGAGTCTTGAAAGGCTCTGCAGAGGATAGTGAGCCAGCACTGTAAACTCAGGAAACTGCATGAGGTTCAATATGAGTATGAAAGATTATAGCAAGAGGTAAGCCAGGCCAGATTTTGAGTAGTCTTGCCAACTATACTGACGAGTTGACTTATCCTGAGAGGTAGTGGTTACTCATATTAAAATGGGCTATCATATGATCAGACATGGAAAGAGCATTTTGGCTACAGTGTCAGGAATTGGTTGGCTGGGAGAAAGATACAGAGGCATAAATGCTTTTGAAAGCTATTGGGATTATACAGGAACGAGATAGTGGTGGCCATAGAGACAGAACAGACAGAGAGCGTGGAGTAGAAACAGTAGGAATTAGTGATTAGCTGGTGATGGATAGTTAAGGTTTAGGTAGCATTAGCATTTACTGAGAAGAGTAATACAGGAAAAGGACAAGTTTGGGAGAAAACACAGTTGTTAAAGATTTCCTTTTCGGGGGTGGGGTATAGAGATTAGATTAGTAACAGCCATTCCAGCCATTTTTGGCAAGCAAGGTATAATAACCAACTTTTCGTCACACCATTATTGTTTTTAGATGAAGGATCTTAAAGATTGGCTATCCTACTTGCCTTTTTACAAACTGAGTTTAAATGTCAGATACTCTTGAAAAAAGACTTAGATAGTCCTTCAAAGAAAGTGGTTTTCACCACTTCGTACATGATCTGTTTCTAGCTCCTCTTTTAAGACTGATTGTAATTATTTGTTCACAGCTCTTCTATCAAATTACTGTGGTTGCCTCCAAGGCAAGGATTCGGGTGTTTTTTTGTTTTTTTTTTGTGTTTTTTTTCAATTTAGTATCTTCAGTGCCTGGCATTTGATGCATATACAGTAGGTGATGGCTTTAATATTGTGTGAAGGATAAATCTGGAACTCACAGTTCAGTGGTCTAGTTATGATATTTTGTTAGTGGCAGAGCAGTTCAGCAAGAGATTCTCTATTAAAACAAAATCTCTTTTCTGCCTTGTATGTCTGGTATATTAAGGAAATTGTCTGACTAGTTAAATGTGGCACAAAGAGAATAACTGAGCGTTCTAAGAACTCTGACAATAAAACCCGATACTGAACTTTACGATATATTGGGCCATAAGGGCCACGTATGTAGCTTGGTGATAGAAGGCCCGCGTGCACAAAGCCATGGGTTCTATCATGAGCACTGCAATAAAATAAGATAAAAGCTTAGAGTGCCAGGCATGGTGGCACAATCTTGAAACTCCTGGCATTTGGGAATCTGAAGCATAGGAGGATCATAAGTTCAAGGTTAACCTGGGCTACAGAGCAAGTGCCTGTTTCAAAAAACAAAACAGCACAGCAAAGTTAGAGTATATCTTGGACCACATGGATTAAATACTGATAAGCATGAATTTTCTAATTATTTCATCCATATGGATGTGACCCTTGTTAGACCTCTATTAGAAACCTGGCAAAACTTTTAACACAAGACTCTTTAGTAACTATGTGGGTAAGAACTTTTAAGTCTTTGAGTAAATGTTATTTATTAATGCATATCATTTCTGACTTACTCATAACAGAAAATACAGAGATGATATGTTTATCCCTCATTGTATTACTCTGATAAACCCTGTAAGTTTATTTATAGTGTCTTACTATAGCACAGGTGTAATGTTACAGATGTCTTATGCTAGGGCCTTACTTAGGCATGTCTCCATCATCCTCTGCTGACAGACATGGAAAAGCTGATTTCTCCCTTTTTCATCATGATTTTATCTGACACCCTGTCTGTTCCCTAAAGCTGCACTGAAAAGGTGACTAAGGATTAACTCTTCCATGATAGATTTTTCAAAGGGATATTTATCACTGGAAATAAAATTGTAATTTAGCAGCATGTATCAGAGGGTCAGGGGCAAAAGAAAAATCAAATTTAATAATGCTCTACTTTTGAAAAGTTACCAGCTCATGATCTAGAAAGACACAGGGAGGTTTACAGGAGGAAGACTGCAGGAAGACTGCATGGGAATGTTTTAAAGTTTAAGCCTATACTGTTACTATATTTTTAGGTCTCCATCTAATATTATTTGATAATTCTTTTCAAGGCACAGTATTTATTTATAGTGTTAATGAAAAGGGTTAGCATAGCTCTTATATCCTTTAAGATGAATGAGATTTTTGGCTTTACTTGTCATCTGCCTTGGAATGTGATTTTAAATGAGGAAAGTAACCCAGTATCAAAACAGCAGTTCAGTTTTATCTTTATTCTGAAATGACATTCTTGAAGTAATTCATATTCTTGAAATTTTGCCACTTAATATATATTTATGTCCCAAAACAGCTTCATTTCTTTTTAGTTCACTTTAAAATCTTGCATGTAAAGCTCTTTGAGTTTGTTGGGTATTTTACTGAGGCACATGTAGTAAGAGTTGTTGAAGGCCTGGGTTCTAGCTTTGAAGAGACAGCAGCTAACAAATGTTGAGGGTCTTCTATATCTCAAAGCCTCATGGTGGAGACTTGGGGTCTAGGACCCCCAGGTACTTTGCCCAAATCTACCATTACCCAGATGCCTGTATCTCATTAAGGAGCTTTAGGTGGTTTCCAAATTGGTGCAGAGATTCAGACTTTTTCTTGGAGGTCTCTAGAGCTGGTCTCTTCCTAAAACTATGTTGGTTATGATGATCTGTTTCAGAGCATTTGTTCCTTATGTACTCTCTGTTCCTGTAGTCCTAGCATAGGTCTTAACAGGTCTAGGAGGCAGAAGTGGAGGGGAAGCAGAATGCTTTCAGATAATTCTGCTTTCCTCAGAACCTGTATGAATTACCTCGTGGTAAACCTAATAAGTCTTTGCAATTGGTGTGTTAAGAATTTAATTTGTTCATTGGCTTATCTTACGAGTTTGGTCCTTTGCCAGAGAAGAAGCTATTCAGCACAGATTTTGGATCACTTCATTGCTTTTTTAATTTTTTTAATTCAAATTACTGATGATGTTTTCAACAGAGTTGACAACTTTAACAATACTTTAATGGTCAAGAATCTTAGTACTGACTGCAGGAGAGGCCATTCAACCTTAATAGATGCCATTTCATTGAAACACAGGCATACCCTTATTGCAACTTTGGCAAAGCCAAAAGGGCCAAATGAGGACACTGGACTAATAATGCTTTCTTGGGCAGAGGAGAAATGACTGTGATGAAGGAGGACGAAGTCCAATAGTAATGGTTCTCCTCCATAGATAAAGACCTTCACATATCCCTGAGGGAAAGATGAAAACTAACAATTTCAGAGTTGTTTCTGTGTTACCCCATCATACAAGGATATTTTATAATTTCATTAGACAGGAAAGCAGATACCATGGGTCAAAATGTGATTGAAAACTGGCCGTTTTTACCATCATAATTACAATTTGAAGCAGGATGAACACAAAATGGTCCTAAACATGATCCGGTTCACTCATAAATATGATGGCTATGTTTATTATCTTTTTCTTCAATGATGATTAAGAATATGATTCAGACTGTATACTATATCCTTTAGGTTAAGGTTGTTACAGTTTTTTATTTATAGGTTCATATTTTAATAATGTGATCTAGTTTAGTGACCAGTTAATATTGTCTGGAAGGTACACTGATAGAAGTTTTCAAACTGAAAGCCAAAACTCATTAGTAGTCTATATGATTTAGTGAGCCATTCTGAAAAGAAAATAGTTATAAAAATACCAAATGCATGAAATAAAGTGAAATGTAGAATTGTAAAACCTGTTTAAACTCAATCATGATGTTAAAATGTATTGTGTCATAGTAAAAAATATTGCTCTGCATCACCAAGAAGAATGTATGCTTAACTATGAAGAATAGGCATAATTTGAATATTAAAAACACATTAGGAAAATGGTCAATGTGAACTGAACTATACAAGTAGGATGTTGGCATTGTAAATTATGTCCAGGCTTGGAGAATTGCCTCGGTGGGTACATGTACTTGCCATCCTCAAACCTGACAACCCAAGTTCAATCCCAGGATCCCACAGGGAAGGAGAGAGCCATCTCCCATAAGTTATCCTCTGACAGACCTTCACATGTGCACTATGGCACACTCATGTCTTCACACTCACACACATCATACCCACACAATAATAAAAATTTAAAAAGTGATGTCCAGGGAAGGATAGACCATATTGAGTGGACTAGCAGAGGCTATCAAATTAGTGGTAGCAGGAGCTGGAGAGATGACTCAGTGGTTAAGAGCACTTGCTGTTCTTGCAGAACACCTGGGTTTGGTTCCCAACACTCACATTATGACTAACAACTGTCCTCAACTCCAGTTCCTGGGGATCCAAAGCCTTCTTCTGGCTCTTGAAGACATTGCATGCACATGCATGGGTGGGTGCATTATATGCAGGCAAAACACTCATACACATAACATA